CTGATGCTGATGATGCTGATCATGATGACGATGCTGATGATGTCGGTAGTATGATGATTGTGATGATGGTGATGTTGGGGCTATGTGTGCTGGTTCGGCATGTGATGGTGTATGGTGATGGTGATGCTGTTGATGGGTATGCTGAGGATGATGTCGAGGATGGGGATCAGAATGTTGATGGTGGTTTCGCTGCCGATGATGACGATGAAGTTGCTGATTGTGATGACTTTGTTGCTGCTGTTGATGCTGATACTGCTGCCGATGATGCTGACGACGATATCGATATTGCGGTTGATGTTGTGATTGTTGTTCTTGTTGTTGCTGTTGTTGTAGTTGATGGTGCTGATGATGATGCTGTTTTGATGATGATGTTGATGTTGACGCTGATGCTGATGATGGTGACGCTGTTGATGCTATGTTGTTGATACTGGTTATGCTGATGCTGCTGATGATGTTGATGCTGGTGATGCTGACGATGATGATGATGAGGATGATGCTGATGCTGATGTTGATGATGATGATAACGAAGCGCTGATGACGCTGCTGATGATGAGGATGGTGATGCTGATGCGTATGCTGCTGATGCTGATCATTGTGATGATGCTGCTGCTGATGCTAATGCTGATGCTGATGCTGTTGTCGATGCTGATGCTGATAATGATGATGCTGATGACGATGGCGATGATTACGACGATGATGCTGATGCTGATGGCGACGACCATGATGCTGATGCTGATGATGCTGATGATGATGCGGCTGCTGCTGTTGCTGCTCATGCTGCTGATGACGATGATGCTGATTATGCTGCTGCTGATGATGATGGCGATGCTGCGGAGGTGGAGCAGGACGTGGTGGGCCACGTCGAGGACGAGGAGGATGATGAAGAGGATGAGGATGAGGAGTGCGACTAATATTATTGACCAACATGAATCCATAAAGGACTACTGCGGCAAATACGTTAAGAAGACATATTAGTAAGACGCCTAATCAATTATCAAGCGAAACATAATCACACAATGACGAACCATACGACTACACATGTTAGCAATGCAACACATAGTATAATCTTATGGCAACTCGGAATAATGCTACGAACACGATGACACGTAATAGTAATATCATGAAGCAGGCGAACAATTGAGAATCTATATTTATGAAGTCGGATAATACTGATACTACGGCGACTGCTAATACCAAGCATCGTAATAGTATCACATCGCGACTGACAACTTTACACATAAGGATATTCTTGCGAATATCAGCAAACGGAATATTATAACACGACCCACATACGAATAATCAGACAACGAACAAACGGAGGAGGAGGAGACGGAGAAGGAGGAGGAGGAATGGGAGGAGGAGGAGGAAGAGGAGGATGAGGATGAGGATGAAGATGAGGATGAAGATGAGGACGAGGATGATGAGGAGGAGGAGCAGGAGGAGGAGGAGGAGGAAGAGGAGGCGGAGGAGAAGAAAGAGGAGGAAGAGGAGGAGGAGGACGACGAGGAGCAGAGAGAGAGAGGTGGATGCAGGCGGAGGAGGAGAAGGAGGAGGCGGAGGAAGAGGAGGAGGAGGAGGGTGATGATGAGGAGGAGGAAACACATGAGGGAGGCTGATGAGGAGGATTTGGACGAGGATAAGCATAATGATAATAACGAGGAGGAGGAGGACGAAGTTGAGGAGGACGAAGAGACTAACCAGGACAAGAACGAGGAGGAGGAGGAAGAGGAGGTAGAGGAGGAGGAGGAGGACGAGCAAGAGGAGGATACTGAGGTGGGAGGCTGAGGAGGAGGAGGATGAGGATGAGGATAAGGTTGAGGAGGAGGAGGATGTGGAGGAAGAGGAGGAGGCGGATGATGGTGAGGAGGAGGAGGAGCAGGACGAGGAGGAGGAGGGGGAAAAGGAGGAGGAAGAGGAGGAAACTGAGGAGGGACGCGGAGTTGGAGGAGGAGGAGGAGGAGAAGGTGGACCAGGGTAATTTTAGACCCATCAACGATGTTGGCATAAAGCCGCCCTCCAAGCTTCCTCTTCATAAGCCCAGTCAAGGGTTCATCACTACTGAGGAACGTGCCCCGTTAGGAGACAATCGTTTGAGGAGCCTGAACCGTACAAACACGCACGTTCCGGGACTCCAGCGCCACGAATCAATTTGACGGTTGCGTCTTGACGGTCTTGAATCGTGCCAGAACGCCATTCCTCGGATTTCAAACCACGAATCAACGTAACAGTTGCGTCTTGACACTCCGACATGCTGCCAATACGCCATTCCTGGTACCTTAACCATGGGAATCCGTGAAACTCTGGCAGTTGCTTAGGACGAATGTGCGCGGCGCTAAGGCGAGAGCCACATTTTGAAAAGGAGCCGCGCTGAATCCATTAACCTCTTGCACATGTTTAAAGCCAATCTGCGCGGCGCTAAGGCGAGAGCCACATTTTGAAAACGACCCGTTCTCAATCTGCGAAGCTCTTTCAAATGTGTAAGACGAGTGTGCGCACCGCTAAGGCGAGAGCCACATTTTGGAAGCGGCCCGCCGTCCATCTGTGAAACTAGCAACAACTTGTACATGGTAAGGAGGTCTCAGGCGAAACGCCCGGCCTGCCCTTCCGACGGGCCTCGTGGTGCGACAGGGAGGAGTTATTTTCAAGGAAAGGCGTGGAATAGGGTGATGATACTGATGCTGCTGCTGATGATGCTGATGCTGATGATGATGCAGCTGCAGATGATGATAAGGGTGAGGATGCTGATGAGGATGGCGATGATGAAGATGAGGGTGCGGATGATGATGATACTGATGATGCTGATGATGTTGGTTGATGATGATGACGATGATGATGGTGAATATGATGATGATAATGTTGATGAGGATGATGATGGTGGTGGTCGTGAGGATGATGATGATGATGATGATGCTTACGATGCTTATGGTGTTGATGATGAGGATGCTCATGATGCTGATGATACTGCTGATGACACTGCTGCTGTCGATGATGATGCTGATGACAATGATGCTGATGACGACAATGATGATGCTGATGATGGTGGTGGTGGTGATGATACTGCTGATGACGATGATGCTGCTGATGTTGCTGCTGCTGCTGACGATGCTGCTGCTGCTGCTGATGCTGATTATGATGCTGCTATTGCTGATGATAATGTTGATGATGATGAGGGTGATTCTGCTGGTGATGCGGATGCTGATGCTGGTGATGCTGCTGATGGTGAGGCTGATGCTGATGGTAATGCTGATGCTGATGATGCTGCTGTTGATGATGATGATGACGATGATGATCGTGGTGATGATGGTGATGCTGATGATGCTGATTATGAGTACGATGATGCTGATGATGATGATGATGATGATGGTGATGGTGATGGTGATGGTGATGATGCTGTCGATGATACTGATGCTGCTGCTGATGTTGATGCTTATGCCGATGCTGATGATGCTGCTGATGCTGATGATGATGACGATGACGATAAGTGGGCTGCTGCTGATGATGATGATGATGCTGATGATGACGATGATGACGATGCTGATGATGTTGATGATGCTGATGATGCTGATGCTGATGCTGACGATACTGATGATGCGGGTGATGAGATGGTGCTGCTGCTGATGATGCTGATGATGATGATGATGACGACGACGACGACGACGACGACGATGATGATGATGATGATGATGATGATGATGATGATGATGATGATGATGATGATGATGATGATGCTGACGAGGAGGAGGATGAGGAGGAGGAGGAGGGCGAAGAGGAGGAGGAGGAGGGCGATGAGGAGGAGGATGAGGAGGAGGGGAGGAGGAGGGGGAGGGGGGAGAGGGGGAGGAGGTGGAGGAGGAGACGAGGAGGAGGAGGACGAGAGGAGGAAGAGAGAGGCCGAGGGAGGCGGAGGGAGGCGGCGGCGGAGGAGCAGGAGGAGGAGAAGGAGAGGAGGAGGAGGAGGAGAGGAGGAGGAGGAGGAGGAGGAGGAGGAGGAGGAGGAAGGAGGAGGAGGAGGAGAGAGGAGGGAGATGGGAGGAGGGAGATGGGAGGAGGGAGGAGGAGGAGGTGGAGGAGCAGGAGTAGGAGGAGGAGCGGTGGCGGAGGGAGGCAGAGGAGGCTGAGCGGCGCGGGGCGCGCGGGGGCCGCGCTCGGCCGCGCGCGGCCCGCTCGCTTCGGGGCCCTCGGACCCGAGGGTCCCGGATCACGCGGAGGAGGAGGAGGAGGAGAAGGTGTGGCAGCACATATATTAATGTGACTGATCGAAACACAAGAAGAGTACTTAGAAACATATAAAGTATACCCCGATGACTCATCTCAGAAAACTGACACGAATATTCATACGATAAGGTACTACTAATGATAATACTACAACGAAGAATGCGGACAATAGTACTACTATTGGGAATAAGACGAAGAGGAGCATTTTTTATAGCAAGCAAAAGAAGAGGAGGAGGAGGAGGACCAGTGTACACCCAAGAGTCATCAACGATGTTGGGATACACTCTCCCTCCAAGCCCCCTCTCTCTTCATAGGAGAGGGAGCTGCCTCGTCGGAAGACAACTGTTTGAAGACCCTGAAGCATGCCAAAATATAGTTCCCGTGATTTCAACGCCACGGATCACCCTGATTGTTGCGTCTTAACGATCTGGAATCGTGCCAGAACGCCATCAACGCCGCGTACTTGTTGCACCCTCATCGGGTCGCTCGCAATTCTTGAAACGCTGGCAAATGTTGAAATATTGTGCGCGGCGCTCAGGTAGAGCCACATATTGAAAAGGAGCCGCCCTCAATCCTGGAACCATTGTAAATTTTCAAAATGAATGCGCGCGGCACTAAGGCGAGAGCCAGATTTTGAAAACCACCCGCCCTCCATCTGTGAAGCTGTTACTCTAAAGTTAAAGCTTCATATCATAAGGGATGAGGAAGTCTCAGGCGAAACGCCGGGCCTGCCCTTAGAACTGGCCTCGGGGTGCGACAGGGTAAAGTTACTTATAAGGAATAGGGATGGATGAGGAGGAGGAGGAGGAGGAGGAGGAGGAGGAGGAGGAGGAGGAGGAGGAGGAGGAGGGTCTCTGCCTCTTAAATAGGGTCGGAGTAGATGCTGTCGGAGGATCGCGCTGCATCGTCGATGCGGTTCGATGTGGAGCCCGATGTCCTTCACGTCGAAGTCGCCGATGCATCGTCCACGTCGCCGATGCATCGCCGATGCATCGCCGATGCGTCGCCGATGCATTGCCGATGCGGCGCGATCCCTGACCCCTTCTGCTCCGACCCCATCAAGGAGGCCTCTAGTAGAGGAAGAGGCGGAAGAGGAGGAGGAGGAAGAGGAGGAGGAGGAAGAGGAGCAGAAGGAGTAGGAGGAGGAGGACGAGGAGGAGGAGGAGGAGGTGGAGGTGAGGTGGAGTTGGAGGAGGAGGAGGAGAAGGAGGATAAGGAAAGGAGTACGTAGTAGTAGGAGGAGGAGAAGGAGGAGGAGGAGGAGGACGAGGAGGAGGAGGAACAGGAGGGAGGATGAGATGATGAGATGATGATGATGATGATGATGATGATGATGATGATGATGATGATGATGATGATGATGCTGATGATGATGATGATGATGATGATGATGATGATGATGATGATGATGATGATGAGATGATGATGATGATGATGATGCTGATGATGATGATGATGATGCTGATGATGATGATGATGATGATGATGATGATGATGATGATGATGATGATGATGATGATGATGATGATGATGATGATGATGATGATGATGATGATGATGATGATGATGATGAGGAGGAGGAGGAGGAGGAGGAGGAGGAGGAGGAGGAGGAGGAGGAGGAGGAGGAGGGAGGCGGAGGGAGGCGGAGGCGCAGGTCCCAGGTAGCAGGAATCGGCCGCAGCGCCCGCCTGCGCTCCGCCGCTGGCGAGGCCTCGCGCCGCGGCTGAAGCGGGAGCTGGGCCGTCTGCTGCCGAGCGACCTGTCCCGACAGGCGTCGCGCGCCGCTTGCGGCTGCCTTGCCGTGGAGGAGGCCCAGACATGGCAACTCATGGGAGCCTCCCATACCAGCTTGCTGGCTCTGGCGAATCGACGCTAGTCGATGCTAAATCGACGCTCGATCGACGCTAATCGACGCTGAGTCGGCGCTATATCATCGGCTGCCAGACGCTAGTCGACGCTAGTGCACTCGGCAGACGATGTTACGAGGGTATACGAGGCTCCAATGACTTGCTACGGTGGTAGGTTTTTGGCCGTTTTCAGCGTCTGGGGGCCCTCGCTGGGCCCCAGGGCCGTCAAACACCGACTCAGGATGAACAACCGGTCCCCGAGAGGGGGTCGAGATTTTCGGGGGACCCCATTTTGCAGAAATCAAGACTTCGGATCGCTAGGAAGGGGTCTCGATGGCAAATGGCTCCCGGGCTCTCCGCATGCTTTCGTCGGTTCTCGGTGGCTTTCCAGCCTCGGGGTGCTTCTCTTCAGCAGCGCTGCGCATCGCCGAGAGCAGTCCCAGGGGTACCCGAGTCGTCCCGAATGGCCGCAGGAGGCCTCTGTCATGGCTCGAAAACCTGACATATTTGCGTCGCGAGAGAATCACGACGGAAGTTTATTTGGTCATTTTCGGCTTCTGTGGGCCCTTACTAGGTGATACGATGAAAAGCAGGTCGTTGCGAAGGGGTCCAGTTTTCTGAGGAGCCGCGTGGTGAGAAATCACGATGTCGGATGTCTGGGTCCGATCACGACACGATTCCACCGTTTTCCCCGTCCCCTATAGGATTACTCATTCTGAAAACGAACTACTGCTCTTCTCTCTCCCTGGTTAGGTCCAGTCGTGGGGCTTACTCTCCTGCGCATGGTTTCTTCACGCAGTTCTTGTCCTGTGTGTTTGTGTAAGAGTGTGTTTGTATGCACCGCCGGTGCATTGATGATTCGTTGCAATCCTCGGGCCCGTTAATTATGGTCCCATTTGGGAGGCCTTCACCCCGTCTCCCGCCCCCTCCTCTCCTTCTCCCTCACCCCTTCTCCCCTGCCTTGCCGTCTTCTTTGTTCCGTTCCGCAGCTTTCTGTAATGTGCCCGTCTGCAAAGGTGTGGGACAGTAACTCCCCTGGAAGCGCCTCGATCACTTGCAATCCCAGCCGCGCGCCTGCCTCCTCTCAGGTGGACCCCTGTGTGGACTCGCAGAGGCGCTACGCCGCCTGGATCGGCGGGTCCATGTTCGCGTCCCTGTCGACGTTCGACCAGGCGGCTCCCTCCTCCTCGGCACGCCGTCGTCGCCGCCGCAGACGTCCTTGCCGTCGTCATGGTCGTCGTAATCGTCGTTGTCGTTGTCGTCGTCGTCGTCGTCGTCGTCGTCGTCGTGGTCGTCGTCGTCGTCGTCGTCGTCGTGGTCGTCGGCGTCGTCGTCGTGGTCGTCGTCGTCGTCGCCGCCGTCGTCGTCGTCGTCGTCGTCGTCGGAGGCTTCAAAGGAGGAGCAAGAGTAGGTGGCTGTGGTGGAGGAGGAGGAGTCACCAGGAGGAGTAGCAGCAGCCCTCTGTGCTTGTCTTCTCTGCCTCTCGGCTCGTTCTCCTCCCGCCGCGGTTCTGCCTTTTCCCACCGCTTCTCCGCCGCCAGCGCCTGCTACGTGCCAGATGGTTGCCGCGCACGGCCCCGCCGAGCACACAAGCAGAGGAGGAACAGGAAGAGGACCAGGGCAAACGCAGGATTAAAGAGTTGCACGCAGGGTGCATCAAGCAAGCTGCAGCACGCCCTCTCGTCTCGAGTCCCCTCCTCCTAAATCCTTCCAGGCACCCCTCTTGGCTGCAACAGCCCTCACCCCCACACTCTTCCCGACTCGACTCCCTTCCTCTGCCTCTCTCCGGTGCAGGTGGCGATCTCGAAGCAGGAGTACGAGGAGCGCAGCGGGTGGGACTGCGGCCCCCCCTTGTCGCGAAGCGCGCTTCCCGCGCGACGGCAGCCTTCCAGAGGGTCCCCGCAGGTCCACCGGCCCGCCCCACATGCTCGTCTGCAGTCCGGCCTCCTGCTCCCCTCTGGGGAGCGAGGTGGACGAGCCACCATGAAGAGAACGGGGTTCCAGGGGAAAGGCCCAGAGGAGCTTTTTCCCATTCCTGGCCTCTCGGGGCCGTTCCCCACGAGGCCCCGGGATCGCGCGGAGCGGCTCAGGATGAAGAGTTGGTCCTGGTGCAAGCCCTGGGGTCCTGGGCGCGCTTCCCTCAGGTCCCCGTTCTGTCCTATCGGCGGCGCGCACGGAGGAGGGCGTGAAGCTCCGAGACGGCCAGCGAAAGAAGGACGTACACGTACACGAATCCACATTGGTTTCGAGAGTACGTGTTGCGCGAACGTTCGTATCACGCAGCTGGTCTCGCTGACTGGGGCCGTGTTCATGTTCGTGGTTGGGCGCGTACGTCCTTCGTGGGCTCACTACAAAGCTGGGGGCCCTCTCAGAGGAGCCCTGGGCTTTCCAATACGGCTTCTCAGCATCCGAGAGGGCCTCTACGGCTGGTGTTGGGAAGATAGCGTGCGATGTGGCGCCGCACCTTGGGGATAGCTGGCGCCCGCCTACCAGGCGCTGTCCCCCACCTTGGGGATGGCGTGCACCGAAGCAGCCCCCGCAGGGGGTGACAACGTGCACAGAAGGGGCCCTCGCGGGGGTATCGCCTCGCAGGGACAGCGGTGTGCTCTTCGGAGATCGATGTTGCGCGCCATCTCGATCTTTCCAACGCCCGCCGTCAGGCCCCCCCCCCCTGCCTTCTGGATCCCTCCCAGGGCTCCTCGGGAGGCCGCCCCCAAGCCTCGGAGGGCGCCGCCCCCTCGTGCGTGCCGCCAGCTCGTGCCAGGCAGTCCCACCTCTGGCCCCCCCCAACTGCAGGGCGGGGTGGGGCGACCGAGGGCGTCGAGGCGCTCCCCGCGCGCCGCGGCGAGCGGCCCACCCGGCAAGCCTGGCCAAGTCCTTGGGGTCCCAGGGGGTGCGGGGCTGCAGGCTTCGGAGGCTCGGAGAGGCTCGATGAGCACACCACGCCGTCTGGTCGGCCAGGGAGCCATGGGGCTTGGCGAGGGAGCTCGGCGTGTGGACGCTGCGGCGTCCCGCGGCTTGGGGAGCTGGGGCGTCCACGCGCCGAGCTCCTCGACCGACCGGGCGACTTGGAGCCCCTCCCGAAGCTGCGAGGGCGCCCCCCCCCCCCACGCGCGCGACGTCCGCGCGCTCCGAGAGGCCCCCCTGGCCGCCCGCGGGCCCGAGAGACCCTGCTCGCCATCGGCCACCAGCGTCGGTCGTCGCTGCGGCTCGGTCGCGGGCGAGGGCTGCGGGGGCGGAGGGGGGCAGGCAGGGCAGGCAGATGCCGACGCGCTACGCGCACATGCGGGGGGCCACGGTGGGAGGCGGGGTGGGCCAGGGGAGAGCGGGAGAGGGCAGGAGGAGGAGGAGGAGGAGGAGGAGGAGGAGGAGGAGGAGGAGGAGGAGGAGGAGGAGGAGGAGGAGGAGGAGGAGGAGTTGGAGGAGGAGGAGGAGGAGGACATTTTTGACATTCGCTTCGGGGATGAACTAAAGCACAGGCGCGTTCCTCGGACAGCAGCTGACCCCCAGGCATTGCCTGGGGCGCTGCCAGTTCCGATTCGGCTCCATCGAACTCTACCCCAGGAGGAGGAGAGGAGGAGAGGGAAAACGTCCTGACACCACTAGCCCGGGTTAAACGCCGCCCACCTTCTAATGAGCCGTGCCCAGGCCAGACGGATCGACGCAGACCTTCCCCAGAACGGGGAGGAGATTCCCAACCCACCCACCAATTCCTCCCCAGACTCGAACAATCCCTGAACGCCAACTTGCAGGTTCGGACTTTCGGGCATGGTGAGACCATGGCAAGACCCGCCAGGGAAGGCCACATGCTTTCGCCTGCGACCTGGCTGCCAATTCCTTGAACTGTCTGGAGGGAGGAGGGAGGGAGGGGATATGCATGAAGGAGCAAGGGATGGGGAGGAGATCGACTGCTACGCACTGGGGTAACTCACTTCCCACATTCTAATGGGCTGACCAGATAGCAAAGCGAGACATGACCATCCCACCATAAGGGATGAATAAAAGAAAGACTAGGGGATTACTTCGCCAGACTTTCCTGGACCCCTGATAAGAGTAATAACAAACTGGGCTGAAATGCAGCTGCCCTAACTAGCGCCTGACAAAGAAAACTGAAGCAAGGAAACATACCTGCGTCACAGTACTGCCATTCTGGCCAAAAGGATACGGAACGTGTGAAGGTGAAAGAACTCTGGGTAGCTGACGAATGTCCTTCCCAAACGCGAGAACTGACCAACACAAAAGGTTGAGGATTCTACCAAGAACCTGTAGCCATATATACTTCGCCCAACTAAGCCATAAACAACCTAGCCTATTTTGCCCTCGATGTAATAGAAATTCTGCCGCTGAACTGAATGACTTGGGAGCTACCATCGACAATTGATTCTCCGTTTATTTTGAAGAAGAGGAGCCTGAACTGGATCTGCTCCTCCGAGGAACAGGCGCACTGCCTGAAGCTGTGTTTTGATTCTTTACACGACTGAGCTCAACCTGGAGTGTCTCCAGCTGCTGCTGGAGGTGCTTGATCTTGATAGCCTGGAGACCACACTTGAGCTCCAGAAGTCTTGGATTGGAAGGGGCTGAATCATTGGAAGGGGCTGCATCACTGTGCCCAACCTTTGCACGCTTACTAGCGTGCTCTGGAGAAGTCGAACGAGGACGGTCGACATGTTTTGCACTGACAGAAGGTGAATCGGAATCGCTACCACTGCCCAAAACATTTGGAAGTCTGTCTTCCTTAGAGATCTGAACCTTCACCTTAGGCTCGGCGTTGAATTTATCGCATACTGCCAAATAAAGGTACTTTTCTTTCCCCCTGTACTTGTCCAAGAACATGTCCAACTGATCCAGCATTTGAGGTTCGTACTGCTGGAAGACATCCGAAATGAGTAACTTGAACTGATGCCTGACTTGGAAATCCTGGCCCTGCTCACTGTCGGGTTCTACCTGACCAGTGGCCTTGACCTTGGGATCAGACTTCACTGCCATAAGAGGCGGCGGTGGTGAATGCGCCTTCTCACTGTCGGCTTCTACCTGAACAGTGGGCTTATCTTTGGACTGAATCTTCTCACTGCCAGATGCTACCTCAGCAGTGGGCTTTTCTTTGAGTCCAGTCTTCACTGCTACTGGTGGTGGCGGAGGAGGCGGAAGTGGTTGGGAACTCTTCCCATGCCAAGGGAGACCGCGCTTACAGAATGGTTGAGAAGCAATTCTGTTTGGCCAGATCCAACAAACTGGTCTGCCACGCGGGCAAAGCAACTTAATATGAGTGTCAACTGGAGTTCCTACTCTTTCTTTGAAAACCCAGGGCGTCCTGGACGACATGGCGGCAACAGCGGCGTGTGGCTGTAGGCGAAACAAAAATGGGGCAGGGCTACTCCTGCCCAGCTGGCTTGAGCGGTGGCAACTTGAGCCAAAATGGCTACGGGGGAGGAGGAGGAAGAGGAGGAGGAGGAGGAGGAGGAGGAGGAGGAGGAGGAGGAGGAGGAGGGCGAGATCGCAGCGACGCAGAGTTCCTCTCGTGGCCGGGCGCGGGGCGGAGCTCTGGGTAGGCGGGCTTGGGAGTCCTGGGGATGCCAACGTAGGGCCGAGAATCCCCACCGCTCCTTGGGCACTCCAGCCTCCAGGCCTGGCTGGAGCCCAAGGCCTCCAGCCAGGCCAAGAGGCACACTGGTGCCCCCTGGAAGTCCAGGGATCAGCCTGCATGGCCCTTGCCCAGGGTGTCAATGTGGTCTAGCACGAGAGAGTCCCCTGAGCCCTCCACGAAGGTCGAGGAAGCTAGTCGTCCGGATCTGGAAAATTGAATCCAGTATGATGGGCCGCGTCAGGGATGCTCAAGGCAAGGCGTCGCCGTGTGATAGGCCCGAGCTCCTGGATCCAACCCGAGAAGCGGGGGGGCCCCCCCCCCTCCAATCCATGGGAACAGGCGGCCGAGGCCTCTTGCGCGGAGGCCAGAACGTGGGGACCCTTCTCTGTGGACGAGATGGGGACCCTCCAGAGCCCCAAGAGCGCCCCCCCGTGTCCAGGAGCTCACCGCCACTCAGGCACGCCACCGTGCTATCCTCTTCCGCGTACCCCCCTCCTGGCTCTGGGGCGAAACTCGGGGCGCTCCAGGGCCCCAGGAGCGGCCCCCCGTGTCCAGGAGCTCGCCGCCGCTCAGGCGCGCCACCGTCCCCCTCCTCCTCCTCCTCCTCCTCCTCCTCCTCCTCCTCCTCCTCCTCTTCCTCCTCCTCCTCCTCCTCCCTCCCTCCTCCTCCTCCCCTCCTCCTCCTCCTCCTCCTCCTCCTCCTCCTCTTCAGCGTATGTTCGCCCCCCCCCCCCCCGCCCCCCGCTGGCGTTGCTGCCGCGTTTCTCCTTCGCGGGCAAGGCCCGCCGCCCTGGCCGCGGCCCAAGGAGGGCAAGACGGACATCCGGAGCCTTGTGGCGCGCAAGACCTTCTGAGCCAGGGCTTTTGCGCCCGTCCCCCTCTCGCGGCCACGCGCAGAGGGGTGTGGGGTGAGGGTGGGGGGGGCTTCCCAGAGGCGCCCTGCTTCTCAGGAGGCGCGGGCCTTATCTGTAGCTGTAAGGCCAGCGCCTTCTGAGAAGCGGCCTCCTTCTAAGAAGCCTTCCCCCTCCCTCCGACCCCTTGGGCGCGCCGCCATCTCTGCCCCCCTGAGGGTCGGGTCGGACGAAGGCGGGGAGGCCCAGAGATCCAACGTCTTGAGAGCACCAAGACGGAGGTCTGTCGCCGTCGTCGGCCTCTGGAGGCCCTCGCTGGGGCCCGGGACTGTCAACAAAACGACTCAGGATGAAAGCTGGTCCTGGGGAGTGGGTCGAGACTCCTGGGGACCCCGCATTGAAAAAGTCCAGACATGGAGCGGGGGCGGGAGAGGAAGAGGTATCAGTGCCGCTGCGCACTCCTCGTCGCCACGGCCGGATTCGCCTCCACATCCTGGTCACAACGCACCCCAGGAGAGGTCCGAGGAGTAGCGGTATCGGTACCTTCTTGCTTCCCAGCGGGGGGCGGGTACGAACGCTGTCGGGCGGGGCTATGACTGGGATGCTTAAATCATTCTAAAGTGCTCTGGGACGCTCTCAGATCGTTCTGGAGCGCTCAGGAGTGGCCGCGGCGCCCGATACATCCTCCCAGAACCGCCAGATCTCATAGATCCCCCGTTGGTAGAGGTCCGATTTTGTCCTGGTCTTGGCTTCGTGTTAGGATTTGTCATGGGGATGCGGGTGCGGTAGTTCTGTGTCGTGGCGACGCGGCGGCGACCCCAGGCAAGGCTCTCAATGTTGAACGCCGCGTGTGGCCTAGACTCGGTCAACATGGAACGACTGGCGATCGAAACGCCGCCGATAGTTCAAGATTGAACTATCCACGCGGTATCAGACACCAACGCCGGGGTCGGGCGGGGCTAGGATCGGGATAGTTGACGCGTTTCAAGGCGTTCCGGCACGCTCTCTGAGCTCTCTGGAGCGCTCTGGAGTGGCCGCGGCGCCCGATACATCCTCCCAGAACCGCCAGATCTCATAGATTCCCGGTTCGTCCTGGGGAAAGGGCTGCGGGTACGGTAGGTTCGCGTCGTGGCGACGCGGGGGCGACCCCGGCGAAGGCGTTGAAGGTTGATTGAACGCCGCCAGTGGACTCGGCCAACATGGAACGATCTGGCGATCGAGAAGTTGCCGATCTTTCACGGTTGAACGATCCACGCGGTGTCAGAAACCAACGCGGGGGTCGGGCGGTGCTAGGACCAGGATAACTCGTCTCAGGGCGTTCTTCAACGCTCTCAGAGCGTTCTGGAGCGCTCTGTAGCGGCCGCGGCGCCCGATACATCCTCCCAGTACCGCCAGATCTCATAGATCACCCGTTGGTCCTGGTCCGATTTTTGAGATTTTTCCCTGGTCCTGGCTTCGTCTTAGGACTTAGGACTGGGGAAGGGGGGGCGGGAACGAAAGCTGTTGCATTGCATGCAGCTGCTTTTTTCCGCCCCGCCGCCGGGCGCTCTTTTCGACACGCCTCCACCGGCGCTGGGAGGCGCTGGGAAGACCAGCTGCGTGAGCTCGTTCGCTGCGCCCCCGCTTTGCTAGTTCCCCCCCTCTCGTCCGACCTGGGAGGTGGTCTCGTCGTGGCCGTTGCCGGCCGCATCCTTGAGCCCTGCGTGTCACCCAGCTGCCAAAAAGGCTAGGGGCTTGCAAAGATGGAGGCTTTGGGGCAATGTCAGGGAGGGATTGGCCCAGGGGGATGCATCGACCCCCGATCGCTTATTCATCGGCGATGAGGGCCTCATGGCCCGCCCCGCCCAGGAACGTGCGGATTCGCTATCGAGGGCCCATCGCCGATCCATCAGCGATGTGTCGCCGATTCCAGCTCGATGTTTCCCCCCTGAGCTGGCCCCCCCCCCTTAGCGTTCCCCCTCCGGGGCAGGGTCAGCTGGGCGGCCTTCTTGGGAAGGCCCCCCGCGGGGCGCACCGCTTTCACGGGGCTGGCCCCCTTTTCCAGCAGTCCCCCTGCAACCTCAGAAGACCGCCTACTCCCTTGACATCCTCGCGTCGTGTCAAAATCACGCCGGATGGTTTTCGGCCGAATTCGGCCTCTGGGGGCCTTTGCTGGGCCTGGGGACCCGTCTGAAAATGGCTGAGGATCAAAGGCCGGTCCCCTGGAAGGGGTCCAGGCCTCTTGGGATCCACGCTGGAAAACTTACCTGCACCAGCAAAGCGTCCTGATAGCAGCAACGGTGAAGAGGCGTTTCGAGGAGTAGGAGGTCGGCTCTAGGAGACATGGGTGGGAGCACAGCCATATGCACCTTAGTGTATTTGTTACAAGGGATCGTGGCCGCCCGGACCAAACATGTAGCTGGCGATGAGACGGGAGCACGATTCTTTTACAACTTGTGAGAAAGTCTTAGGCGAACCGGCTGCTGGCATCGGGCGGGCACGGGCTCTCCGCTCCCCTGTGGGACTCTTCTGTGGCCCCTCTCTGGCACTAGAACCCTCCAGCGACACGCTACTGGGGAGAAGCGCGACGTCGGATGTCGAGGACTTGCGTAGGCCGCCCCCTCACTCTGGCCCTCGGTTGTTTGCCGCCAGAGAAAAGCGTGCCCCTCGCCTGAGACGCCCCGCGTTGACCTGGCGCTGTCTTCTCCGTCTCTGCCCTGGCGGGGGCCCGCTCTCCTCGCCGCAGCCCGAGGGCGATGTTGCGCCATCTAGGAGAAGGTCGAAGCACACGAGGTCGTCTTGGGCGCACACGGGCCCCCGCCCCCCCCCCGTCCAGACCCAGCGGAGAAGGTAATATGGCCGAAGGGTCAAGCTCCCAACGGGGACGCCACAAGCCCTCACTCCCACACGCCCTCACATCGTATCCAGTGGCGTTGCCGCGCATATCCGCCACCGCGCTTGCGAGAGAGGCCCAGCGATGCTGCAGAGCGGCACGGCCTGGACTGAATTGCGCCACGCGCCGACCGCACCACATTGATTGAATCACCCACATTGCATCGCGCGCGTTGCGCCAAACAGACTGCAGCCGCTTCGCAACGCGCCGTTAGAGTGTACAAGGAAGTGGCGTCAAAAGTAAAAGCAGTCTGTGTGGGCGAAGGTGGGCAGGGAACGGACATGAGCATGAAACGCAGTCTTTGTCGACTCGATGCCCTCACGGGGCCTCTCGAGGACCACTTCGGGGCCTTTCGGGAAGCTCTCGTTGGCTTCTCGGGGCTTCTTGGAGGCTTCTCGGCAGCGTCGCGGGGCCTCGTGGGGCCTCTTGGGGATCTTGGGATGTCCTCAGGCTTCTTGGGAGGCCTCGTTGAGCTTCTTGGGGTCTTGTTGGGTTTATGGGAGCCTCTGTGGGCCTCTTGGGGACCTCGTGGGACGTCGCGGGGACCTCTTGTGCCGTCTTGGAAAGGGACCTCTTGGGTCGGCGTGGACGCTGTGAAGACGAACAAGGCGAGAACATGTACATTACAAACACGCTATGATTTAATTTTCTGTTTCCAGCCCTCCTGCGTTGGGTTTTCGTTTTGAATACTGCACTGCGGTCGCAACTCCTTCCTTCCCGCCTTCCTCCTCTCTCCCCTGCTCCTCTCAACTTCTGCCTTTTACCTGGCTTGCACCTGCCTGCCAGCCTTCCTCTTATCTCGACGTCCTCCCAGGGGGGCTCGGACTGTTGCCACTTTTGTGGGCTCCCGCGGAGTGACGTCCTTTTCGGATCAGATGGGACCTCGCTGTCGCTGGGGGCTGTGAATTGCGAAATTGTCGCAACTTTCGAGGGCACCTGGAGGTCCAGCAGAGTGACGAACCTTTTGGATCAGATGGGACTTCGCCGTCGCTGGGGGCTGCGAACTGAGAAGCTGTCGCCATGTTCGTGGGCTCCCAGGAGGTCTTGCGGGGCGACGTCGCTGGGGCTCGCGAATTGCGAAACTGTCGCCGCTTTCGAGGGCCGCTGGGGTCCAAGCTGGGTGACGTCCTTTTCAGACGAGGTGAGACCTAGCCGTCGCTGGGAGCTGCGAACTGTAAAATCGTTGACGCTTTCGAGGGCACCTGGGAGCTCCAGCGGAGCGACGTCCTATTCAGCTCAGATGAGACTTCGACGTCGCTGGGGGCTGCGAGCTGCGAACCTGTTGCCACTTTCGTGGGCTCCCGGAAGGTCTTGCGGAGCGACGCCCTATTCAAATCAGATGAGACCTCGCCGTCGCTGGGGGCCTCCCGCAGACCTGGCGGCGCGCCAGCAACCGTTTCGCTCCCGCGCTGAAGAGGTGCAGGAAGGACGGATAAGCTGGCGGGCGAGCTAGGCCTTGCTCTCTTCCTGCGCTAGCTATGAACAGCTGCTCCAGCTGCTTCTTTCGAACACCAGTAATGGCGCGGGCATCGCTGCATGTTAAGCGTGCCACTGGCAAAACGAAGCCACAATTCTTTATCATCCCTCCTCTTTCGTCGTCGTCTTCGTCCCCCTGCCACCTTCTCCCTGCTGCGGCCGCGTTGGATTTTCGGCCCCCCTTCTGTCCTTCTCTTGCCCCGCCCTCCGGTTTTCTTTCTTCTTCGAGCTTGGGGCCTCACTCCTTGACCTCTTATCGATGTCTGGTGAGTCGTGCAACGTGCGCGTATTCCGTGTTGTCTGCGCAGCAGATGACGGCGCTTGCGCCGTCGTTGTCCGTGCATTTGTGGGCGATTTTCTCTTGTCACTTGATGCGAATGGATCGGGTGCGTCACAGGATAACTCGCCTCCTCGTAGGCGTCGTGGGGGGCGCCTTGTTGCTCTCTCGGGCGTTCGTGGAGCCCCATGGCGTCAATTGTAGAGGAAACGGATGTCCAGGGAGGGAACCACCTTGTCTGATCTGCGGGCAAGGCGCGCCGCCGCTGCAAAACGAGGAAGGCGAGGGGGCAGGCATGCGCCTGGGAGGGGGTGGGGTCCACGGGCCAGTGCGCTCGTGTATTCAATTTTTGGGTACATTTTCTGTTGGGAACGCCAA